AAACGTTTGTTCAAACACACAAAATAAATTTATTATTTAATTGCTTCAAAATCCCGCAAACCGTTCGGTAACGCCTTCATCACTAAACTAAATATTTAAATTGTCAATAAAAAAATAATAAAATTGTCAATCAAAATTCTTTTTCCAAAATATTCACTTTGATATATTTCTATAATATAAATTCTCTTACATATTCATCGATATGACCGCTATGTGATCGGATATTTTGTAAAATGCGTAAATATTTGCGCACAACCGCAAAAGAGACAAAAGCTGATCAAAAAGCAGAGAACCATCGGCAACATTTCGATTCCGGTGACACAGTGACACGAAGCCTATTAGCCGAAACCCTCTATTCGGCGGCCGTTCCTGATAAATAGAACGGTACCGGGAACAGTGTCGCGAGTCCCGACAATGGACCGCCGGAAGACCGGGGCAGCTTTAATTTCCCCCCGTAGTTCCTGGCAATTACCGCGTGGCGCGGCCCGATAGCCATCTCTATCTCCGACCACAATGCCACCAGTTCCGACGCACCCCGTTCCTTGCCACCTTGCCAGCGATTTACTTCCCTCCCCCGCGTCGCACCCTTCGACGATTTTTCTTGTCCCAACCGTTGATACACGAGCTGCTTGATGTTCCTACAACCAAACTCGCAAATTTATCGATGAAAAGAAATTCGAACTATCTAAAACGGCGAGAAGAATTTCAACGCGATATCCTGATACCGGCATAAAGGCAAAAGTGCTCGTGTTGTTGAACACGATTTTATCATTAAGGTGAATAGCGACGTAGTGTAGCAGTTCTCTCATCAGGGGAATTTATACGTTTGTACATATAAATTCGTACTGTAGATTACAAGAAGTGTGATTTAATATTTATTGATGAATAAGTAGAATTTTCAATAAATGTTAAAATGTTAATTTTTACATTTAATAAGCAAATAATTTTTACACGAAGTGCGATTTGATATATAGTGGCGAATAAATTTTTCAGTAAACGTTAAAATGTTAATTTTTATATTAATTTCTCAAACATAAAAAAACTTTTTTCCTAAAAAAAAACTTTTCTTTCAGGACTTAAAATCAATATGTTTGTTACGATACCGCGGATGTTGCACTTAAAATTAGTTTCTCCCGAGATCACATTAGGTACTCACTTGCACGAGAGGAACGCGACGCACGTGCGATCAAGCGGTGCGCTCGAGAGTTAAGTCGGGTGTTTAACAACTCGCGGCCAAACTCCTTCGAGAAGTTCGCAAATGGTGCGGGACGATTGGAGCGCGACTGCTTAAGTTCGGTCACCGGGGAAAGAAGAAGGAGGAAAGGGTACGCAAGCGGCGATGGGAAACTCTCACGCTCTCTCTCTCTCTCTCTCTCTCTCTCTCTCTCTCTCTTTCTCTGTCTATCTTTCTCAGCAACATTATCGTGTTTTAATTTAACTTGCAGCTGCACTTTAATTAGACTTTGGCTGAATGAGAAGACGACGCTCGACGGGCAAAGCGAATAAGTACTGGCAAGTAAACGGGAGGCGAAGAGAGCGAACTCTATTCCTCATCCATTTCCCTGTCCCTTGGCGATCTCTTCCACCTACCTTTCCTTGTAGCGCCTTTTACCTTCTATCCACGGTTAGGTAGAAAATTCGAGTGATAAGGAAAGAGCGCAAGCGGAAAAAGAAGGTAATTGGCCAGTGGCAACAATGCAACCGGCAACGTCGCTTCTACTTAATTTTTCTTCTCTCCGCGACTTCACTTTGTAACAAGAAAGATATTCTTTGAGGTATACATTTCTTCGACGCGATTATATAGAAACCTATGTAATTTCTCAAGACGTTCCAGAAGCAATCGCGCGCGCTTTCCTTTTATATTTCTCGAGAAATTTACAGTCCGATGTTTTTTCTTCTTCCCGCGAAGCTAAATTATAAAATGATCGCGTTTATTGAAACATATAGCAAATAATATTGATATTTCATTAGCCACACGTTCAAGTTTTGAAGAGAGATAGACTGGAAACTACTCTCACACGATAGGTGTTTATCGTTTATTTACTTCCGTTTAATGCTATGAAAGTATGCTGTTAGATCCCGTTTTGTCGTGCGGCGAATTTCAGGAATTGTCGTTGCGGGAAAGAGGGGAGGGTATTTCCTGGTTCGAACATCAAAAAACCGCGCTTCCGACATCGCGGCGTTTCCGCTCGCAGCTATTCAACCGTCGATATTACTTCGTTCACTCGTGCGAGCGCGAGAGACGCCAGCTACTTTCTACAGCCGTACATTCTTCGCAGGAAACTTGCAACGCGAAACGCAATAAATCTCCCGGCTCTTCCGCTCTTCCGCGTTTCGCGTTGCTCGAAATAATGACATACCGAAGCCATGGACTCGTGTAAGTTGGTTTTCAATGGCACCCCTCGTTTCGCGCGACGGTGTCTCTTCGCGCTTAATGAACGCCGAAACTGTCGCGAAGCCTCGCTTGCGCCGGAGCGACGCCTTTTCCGCCCTACGACGCGGCGCGAGCTTCACCCAACAATCGCGACAATGGCGGGTCTTCGTACTCTGACAATCGACATCAAAGGCAATCGCGAAGTCTTATCGCGACCCGGCGAATATTGGACTGGGAGATTAAATAGGATGATCGAATTCGGAGCCACGGAGTTCTCAAAATTATATCGCGTCCGAGACGAAACGATCGAGCAACTCTCTTCTCGAACGTTCTAGAACATATATCGAATTATGAAGATAATGCGATGTTCAACACAATTTTCAAAACACTTGGAAAAGTTGTGTCTCCAACTTGTTCCATGCATGTACTATTTTTTTCTCGAAACGAAAAATGTCAGAGGACAAAATATAAAGACGTCATCTCGGAACGGATGCATCTCCTGGTGTACTTCTTTGCAATCCTACATTCATAGTGCTTCAGGACGTTTCTCATTTCTAGTTCTCTTTTTTTCTTTAGTGAGATTCTAATGCCACCTCCGTCCTTCACTGAGAACCTCTGTTCCAGGTCGAGAGCACTTATTCGGGCCATAACTCCCGCGCGCGTGTTCCCCCCGTTTCTGCCATCCCGCCCTCATAAATACACGAGATGAGGCGAGGGAAGAGAAGCGGCAGTGCGACGATGAGGTGGAACGGCACAAGGGGGTATAACTCTGACGGAGACGAAAACGGCGAAGTCACACTGGCGAAGGGGTGCGACGGCGGATGCGGGAGAATCCGGGACTTTAAAACAAATATATCGCGCGTAAATCCAACGTGGATATATACCTAAGTCTCTCCTGCTGCCGGGGATCCCTGGGATGTGTCACACCCCAACGAGAACGTCGCGAGACATCGCGAGGAAAGAGAGCGGAGCAAATCGTCGACGTTTTGCTTTACATATTTCCCGCGGAATTGTCTCAGCCATGTCGAGAGGGGAAAAAGATACAACCGTCAGTTAAAATACGAGAAATAACCGGACGTTTAAAATCCTATTTCTCTCTCGTATAAAAAAAAAAAAAAAACTACACAGCCATAGATTTTTACAATATGTTTGTTTTGTCAATTTTTTTAAAAAAATATTTTGTATATGTGATTTATACACGTATATATTTCGCATTTTCCGCGCACACGAGAACAAGTCGTTTCGCGAAAGATTACAAACACGTCCAGAGCTTCCTGTGGAACAGACTGGACCTCGTCGAGAATCGAGTGTACATATCCCGTGGGCGAATACCAGGATTCATGAATACCGAAGTATTTGCCAAGCGCGTACCGATACGCGGAAGCGTCACGCGGACAATTCTGCGCCCTTGAGCGCTCTTCTGCACTCGTTTTACCGTCAAAACGCACACCTATATACATACATGCATCCTGCGCGTGTATACACAGAGTGTATAAAAAAATCACGCATTTTGCGGGACACAGTAAACGCCAATATTTAATTTTAAAATTGGTCAAAATTTCCGAGAGCTAGTGATTTTAGGTATATTTAATTTGTAACGCGTAACACTCCGATAATTTACTGTTTTTTAAAGTTCAGTCGATTCGAAAATTCTAACACATGATATATGATAAAAAAAAAAATATATCTACTTTGCAACTAAACATTTCAACTGACGGTTGAAACCGTCAATCTCTAAGTGGCTCGTATCGCGAGAACTACCAATTTCATGAGATCTATCTATAGCTCTCTCTTCTGACGATCACGCTCTCGAACACAAATCGCGCCCCGAGTGTCTCCAATACACCCTGTATATCACGCGCGCTCGGTACGCGTCGTGCATGTAACGTGCAAAGTCCCCGCGGGCTTAATACGGTATGCACGTCTGTCGTTCGCGAGCGCGCTACGACCCTATGCTCGAATCCGCTACCAACTAATATTCCACGAGAGAGGGCCCAGGGCTACGTGCTTGGACTCAGAAAACTCGACAGACTCGCCAAAGTCTGCTTC